AAGGAGCATAAACCTTCTTCAACCAAATTTAGCTTTTGAAATTTTACTGTGACATTGTACATAGCCTCATACATCCAGGCATGTATAGATTCTACTAGCAAACCCAGCAGTCAAATTCTTTCTAACAGTAAACAAAACGATGTTTAACCCTCTTGAGGGTCAAAAGGTTATCCGACACTTACTCTTCGCATGTCAGCGGAAAGTACATTTCATGGTCCTTTCAATAAAGCCATAAAAATGGTAGGTCATCGCTGAAACAAAAAAGTTTTCCAATCGCTCCGTCAGACCATGTCCTCAGAAAATGTCTAAAATCTGCCCTGTGACCGGTGACCTCCAATTTTGCACTGGTGATGGGTTTCCTACCCATCACACTATACACCGAATATTAAGAGCATAGGTCGAGCCGTTCAGATTTGTGCCGCAATTCCGTATTTTCTCCTATACCTTAAGTTAAGTGGGAGATATTTCCCCTCCGTTTACACATCTTGACCTTTGGCCTTTGACTCCTAAATTGGTCATCCCGAGTCCTTTTCACGACCCCCCCCCCCCGACGTCCCGAATATCGTGACCGTATGTCGAGCGGTTAAGATTTGTGCCCAACTGTTGACGCACGGATGGACGCGCACGCTCATGCGATTCTAAAGCTGCATCTGACTACGTCAGATGAGCTAATAATGTAATATAAAAGATAATGTAAGTTTAAAAAATGTAAGTTAATAAAAGATAAGTAATGCCAGTTTCACGGCGACGGCGAAAGTCAAATGAGTTTGACTTTTGCCGGATGCCGTGTATGGAGAAAGACAGTTAATTGAACCAATCAACGCGATTGTTTTTTATCACCTGTTCTGCTCACGCCACCATCAGCCAATGGACAACAAGCACATGTATGCATAATTTCTGATCATTAGCTGAACCAGAGTGAACACAATGCGCTCAGATACAATGCGCTAAATGACAATACATTTTTTTCAGCACAACGGCGCTGCGTTTTGCTGTGCCGTGCCGTGCCGCGTGTGTGGAGACATAAGCCGCGTTCACACGTAACAAGAAATTCATTATTTAGCGTTTACACGAGGCAAAATGCGCGGTACAAGAAATAAGGCATCTAAATAGATTCGGGATTTGTTGAAATACGCGGCTTCCCAGATGCCAAATTATTTGCTCTGCTTGAGAAATTCTGAATCTCTTGGACCGTGTATTTCTCTCGTGTGAACGCTAAATACCGAATTTCTGAAGCCGCGTATTTTTCCTCATGTTACCTTGCAGCTGGCTAACCCTTACAGACCCAGCCGATGTGGCCCGTGTTGAGAGCAAAACCTTTGTAGTGACACCTGCACAGCGTGCCACCGTACCCATCCCCAAGGAAGGAGTGAAAGGAACCGTCGGAAACTGGATGTCTCCCGAGAATTGGGAGAAGGAGCATGGAGAGCGATTCCCCGGATGCATGAAAGGTTTCAGCACCACTCATCTAGGGGGGGGGGAGGGGGTGCACCTGGTGGCTTTTTTTAGCTCATCTGACGAAGTCAGATGCAGCTTGTAGAATCGCATGAGCGTGCGCCCGTGCGTCCGTCCGTCAACAGTTGGGCACAAATCCACACACCATCCGGGGGGGGGGGAATCGTGAAAAGGACTCGCGATGACCAATTTGGGGGTCAAGGGTCAAAGGTCAAGATGTGTCAATGGAGGGGGAATATTTTCCCCTTAACTTAAAGTATAGGAGGAAATACGGAATTGCGGCACAAATCTTAACGGCTCGACCTATGCTCTTAATATTCGGTGTATAGTGTGAAGGGCAGGAAACCAATGGTGCGAAATTGGAGGTCAAAGGGCAGTGGGGGAAAGGTCAGATATCAGACATTTTCTGAGGACATGGCCTAATGGACAGAGTGAAACACTTTTTTGTTTCAGTGCTGATCTACCATTTTTATCACTTTATTGAAAGGACCATGAAATGTGCTTTCCACTGACGTGTGAAGAGCAAGTGTCTGATAACCCTTTGACCCTCAAGAGGAGGGTTAAACATGGATTCCTCAACTGCCTCAATGACGTCACAGTGTTGTCATATTCATGGCACATCCATAATCTATAAACCCAATAAGCCTGAATAGACGAACGCGTAGAGCACGGGCGTCACGGCTGAAAGGTCGTTGGATCGAATCCCATCTGTTTTTTAATTATTTTCCTGTTTTCTGTATTTTTCTATCTTTATCCATTTAACTATTTTTTTCCAATTAACGCAAATATTTACGCAAACATTTTTTTTAATAGGGTTAGGGTTAGGGTCACAATGCACCATAAAACAGGAGTTTCAGGCACGTGATTTGTATCAACCAATGGGATTTGGGAGGTATGCAGGCCCTAGCTGCGTGTTAGGTGGGTGGCTGATAGTATCACAGCATGGGCTAAACGAAGGTAGCAACTAGTTCGGATTATCTATTCCCTGCACATAGTCAGTATGCACGCCATCTATCGAAACAGAGTGAGAAGAATGTCTCGGCAGGATAGGTCAAATGTATATTGCGCTCAAAAGTGCAGAAATAATTACTTTCTTAACTTCAGTTTAATCAATCTTGAGATAAGTAATTGCAGAAATGAATCGTCAAACCTACCAATGAAAATTTGCCAGTTTTGTACTGTCCTTGGCATGGCTCTCTCCGTCGACGTTACAGTAGTGTGCAATGTCGGGATATGGTGGAGCATGCTGGCTTGTGGACGCTGCAGAGCCCAATGGTTGACTGTCAGTCGAAATGTGTTAATCCTCCCCGACATTGAAGAAATCTGTACGTTATACGTGCGTCTGCCTTACCTCTGCCCGCCATCTTCGTCGAAAGTTTGGACGCCGCTCGGCGAAATCGGAATGTACATTTCAATCGATGACGTAACTGATACAGTAGCGCGCCACGTAGGTGTTATTTGTTTATAAACAATTTAGTCTGACTGACTCTCTTCCTCTCTCTCTCTCTCTTTTTCTCTCTCTCTTCTCTCTCGCTCTCTCTCTCTGCAATAAAAAAAATGTTTGCTGAAATGATGTGTACGCAACTGCGTATCTGCATATCTGCGCCTAACAAAGGTGTCACTACGCACGATTGAAATGTTACGTTTATAATCGTAGCAACAGACCTCAGATGAGCCCAGTCGCTCTGCGGCTCTTGTTCAGAAAATACCATTTTTCGATTTGTGTGGTGCATTAGACTAGTGCACACTGTAAATTGTCAGTATGTTATTCCGTGAAGTAAACAGAAAGTACATTCTGTTTAGTAATAGCATGCCCTTGCATATTTGTACTATAAGTATAGTGTGAGTGCGCCCATGTGAATGTGTTTGTGTGCTTTCACGTCTCGTTTGATTACTACAGTGCTTCATCGGTACATACCGCAAGTTTTTCTCTGTGATGCACGTGCAGCGCCACGTTGGTCCACGTGGGTGATAGTGTAACCGCCGTGTCTTCGCTATAGGTCGCACAATGTATGTGGTTCCGTTCAGCATGGGCCCCATCGGCTCTCCGCTGGCAAAGGTAGGCGTGCAGCTGACAGACACCCCGTACGTCGTCGCGTCTATGCGCATCATGACGCGAATGGGAGAGAAGGCTCTTCAGGGTCTCGGGGACTCAGACTTTGTCAAGTGCCTGCACTCTGTTGGACAGCCCCTACCCATGAGCAGTAAGTGTCGTGTATCCCTGTTGTCTACTTAAGGATACACTCAAGATTTTGCACGGGTATTGTTCTAATTAATGAATCGAATCAATCACGTTTTATTTATAGATGAGATGTATCTCTATGCTCAATCTAAAACTTTCATGAAATTTCTAGCACCTAAATATGTGACAACACAAATTTTGAATTTTTATGTAAAAATGGTATTTTGGATATTTCTCAAATACCACAGAGTATGAAAGCAAATTTATCACCACAAGTTAAGCACAATATGCACCAAAATTGCATGTCAGGATTTTTCTTTAAAGTGTTACTAGACTCATAGGATTTTACTGCATCCAACTGTACTTACTGTATAACAAATCGTCTTTACCCACACGTACTTGTTACCAGATACCTAATTTAATTGTTATAATTAATTATACATCAACGCTACGAAATTTGAACGGCGCCATTGACACCCGCGACCGTGCTGCCACCCTGAAAAAGTTGCGCATTTCCCAATGTATTTTCCACAGTACAGACCGAGGGCTAATCACAAAGGTGCAATTATATTTATGTACCTAAATTGTATTTAACCGAACGATGTTCATTTTAGGACAAATTTATCCATAATATAACTGAAACTATATGTCGTTTATAAGATATTACAATCCTTTTGCTTTTAAATTAATAAATAAGAAACACCCTCGGTCTGTAGCCCTTGGCTGAAAAGTCGTTTTGCGCAACTTTTCAGATCGTGCACTTTTAGTGGCGCCACCGTCGTTGTAATCAAACTAGTCGTTAGTTTTAAAACATTAAAAAAAAATATTTCTAATGGTGATTGAACCATGAAACTTTTTATGTAGCGTAATTTTAACATAAATTAACTTAAACTAATCCTAGATCCTAGAGTAAAGGATCCCTTTAAGTTTCATATTTACTGTTTTTTTAACTGCCTAAATTTTAAGTCTTATGTTTAGATAAATAATTTATACAAATAGCGTTTTTATACTTTTCACAATGACCGACTGCCTGTATGCTAAATGAGCAGATGTCAGCTGTAGAAGGGTTGATGCCGGTGGATTCTAGCATAATGAATACCGTAAAAAGGCTGGTTGTATCATGTCTGTGACATCATCATATTTTATCATATCAGTTGTGATGTTATCATATCAGTGTTTATAGGGCCACAGCTCACTACACACGTATGTGGGAATCAAAACTCTCTGAAAGTTCACATTAATCGTTATATGGAGAAATAACCATACAGAGGTGGCCTTCGAATAAGAATGAAAATTAAAAATCGATAAAATTTCACATAGGAAAGCTTGAGTTTATCCTAAAAATATTCAGTTGGTTAGTAAATAGGGTCTATTATGAGTTTGAAGAAGTTAGAAGCTAGTTTTCCCAGAAGGTCATTGAAATGGAGCACATGTCTATATTATTGGAGAGGCAATAAAATGTACTTTATGTGAGAGTTTGTTCATTATTGTTGATTGACTAACATAAAGCACAAATATTTGTCAAAAGTCTCGGAATTATGTAAAGTGCAAATTTTAAGTCTTAACTCACAGCTAAGGTGCCTAAGCTCGATATAGATGGATAATAAAATCTGCCATGCAATTAGGTGGTTGATGCTAGATGCTAGATGTAGATTAAATATAAATTCTTAGGAATTCGCTATAGGAAAGATAAATAATATAATATAATATAATTATAGGATAATAAATTCTTTCGTTCACATTCACCTTTGATAGATGATACTCTATTTCAGATAGATATCTTCAGCTTTTCTGCTAAGCTGAATGGTGATTTAGATAGAAATGTAATAACTCCTGCCTTGCCAAGCTAAGATGGGCCATAATCCATTCAGATGAATAATTAATAATGGTTGCCTTGCAGCGAACTTGGTGAACAATTGGCCATGCAACCCGGCAAAGACCATAGTTTCACATATTCCTGCGAAAAATGAGATCTCGTCGTTTGGCAGTGGCTACGGTGGCAACTCACTGCTCGGCAAGAAATGCATCTCCCTACGTCTTGGCTCCATCATTGCACGCGACGAGGGCTGGTTGGCCGAGCACATGCTGGTGAGTGCTGTCTTCTAACTGCTGCTGGTGCTGCTACTAATACTGCTGATGCTACTATTGCAGTTGCTCTTGCTGTTGCTACTGATAGTGGTGGTGGTGGTGGTGGCGGCAGTGCTGCTGCTGCTGCTGCTGCTGCTTTGTCTCCTACTTCTGCCGTTGGTATAGCTCCTGGTAGTGGTGGTGATGGTATGGCTGCTGCTGCTGCTTCTACTGCCAGTTCTGTCAGTGCTACTGCTGTTGCTGTTGCTCCTGCTGTAGAGGTTGTCACAGAGGTGATGGTTTTAAGCTATGTCATTGGCCGTAACCTGACCAACCTGGTTAATTCGAACTGAGGAAGAAAATTGTTAAGGGCATTTCAGGCCGTTTTTTCATGACAGCCGTCAGAATTTTTTAGGCGACCCTGTTTTTGTCAAAGGCTCGAAACCAACGTTTAATTTCAAACAAATGCTATTTGTTTTGGTAGATTCACCTGGCAAAATTTTGAATGCAGACAAAAATTTATTGTCGTAATGAATGTGTCAAATGTTTGTCAAACTTAAATGTTCTTATGAACCAATGCTCTGTTGCTCCAATAGGTGACAGCACATACAGCTTGTAGAAGTACTTGGTGGTTGAACTTGTCTAGATATTATATCCATTTATAATTTACTATTCAAGAGGTGCAACATAAACACAATAATGTGAGGAGCACATAATGTGCTCCCACTTGTTTTACGAACAGCGGAGCGGTGATGGAAACAGTAACTTGCATACCACAGGGGTACATGTACTCCTACTTATCATATACTACTGATACTGACATGCCGCGAAAATCATACTGAATTGAATCCGTGCGTAAGTCTGCTTCCGTAACTAGTTCAGAATCGCACTCGTGACTGCCCTGTGTGTGTAAAGCAAGTGTGATGCCAATTGTGATCTTTCCTTGCAGATTCTCGGCATCACGAACCCGAAGGGCGTGAAGAAGTACGTCGCGGCGGCGTTCCCGAGCGCGTGCGGCAAGACGAACCTCGCCATGATGGAGCCATCAATGCCTGGCTTCAAGGTAGAGTGCGTCGGCGACGACATCGCCTGGATGAAGTTTGACGGTGAGGGCCGGCTGCGCGCCATCAACCCAGAAGCAGGCTTCTTCGGCGTCGCACCAGGAACGTCGCTCGACACAAACCCAAACGCGATGTACACGATCGAGAAGAACACGATCTTTACGAACGTCGCCGAGACAAACGATGGCGGCGTCTACTGGGAGGGCCTTGAAAAGTTCACGCCGTCTGACGCTACGATCACGGACTGGCACGGCAAGCCGTGGTCGCGCGACAGCGGCAAGCCATCGGCGCACCCTAACTCACGATTTTGCACGCCGGCACGCCAGTGCCCTGTCATCGACCCCGCATGGGAGGACCCAAAAGGCGTGCCGATTGACGCGATCATATTTGGCGGCCGGCGGCCCGAGGGCGTACCGCTTGTCTACGAGGCTTTTAACTGGCAGCACGGTGTCTTCCTTGGCGCCGCTGTCAAATCGGAGGCGACGGCGGCCGCCGAGCACAAGGGCAAGGTAATCATGCATGACCCATTCGCGATGCGGCCATTCTTTGGCTACAACTTCGGCCACTACATGAAGCACTGGCTGTCAATGGAGAGTCGCGGCCAGACGCCGAAGATTTTCCATGTCAACTGGTTCCGCAAGAACGATGCCGGCAAGTTCATGTGGCCAGGTTTCGGCGAAAACTCGCGCGTCCTCGACTGGATCATTCGCCGCTGCTCGGGCGAGGATATCGCTATGGAGACGCCAATCGGCTACGTGCCCAAGCCGGGTACAATCGACATGAGCAGCCTGAAGGACGACGTCGACATGGAGGGCCTCTTCACGCTGCCTAAGAAATTCTGGCAGGCTGAGGTCGCTGAGCTGAGGAACTACTTTGAGGAGCAGGTCAATGACGACATGCCCGTTGAGATGAACAACCAGCTGAATTCGCTCGCTGAGCGCATCTCTAAGATGTAGCGCGGCCACGTCCGCGTGCGGTGTTGCCATTTATGTATATATATATATGTATGCAGCTAGAGCGAAAATGCTACGATTGAGCGTGAAAGCGAAACATAGTACGCGCACACAGATCTAATCTGTCACACACCGGTTTTTGCCAAATTGAAGGTGTTAATATTTCACCAGCCTGTGATTTAATTTTCTTGCTACTTCAGAAGAGCTTTGTTGTTGTAAGAGTTTGTGTTTATTTTGATCATCTTGTTGAATGTGGTAACTGCAAACACACAGTTGAATTTGTCAGTGATAAAGAGTAAAATACGGAGCTCCCTCCTACCTGGTGAGGAATCGATGACGCATTCCTTTATTGTGATACCATTGTGCAAAATAATGTCATTGTGCTCCAAATGTTAACAGTTCTGTTATAGAAGTAAATGGCAGTGATAACAGAGCTGATTACCCAGACAGTTGGTTACATAACCTGTGATGTAACATACACTACCAGAAACAAATACTGGCACACAATCTTTTTATATCACACTAACCATATATATTTCTTGTACCAGTATTATACCATTTTATTACCCTTATTCGCTCCACCTGAAAATGTTGTGTATGTTTGTACGTGTGTAAATTGCCCCCAACAATTATCGCATATCAGGAATACTTTTTCCTCGGGATGATTTGTATACTGGTACCACTTGGATCATTTTTGGAATGTATGTGGGTACTCTTGAGATGATACTAGCAATTAAACACTGGCTATTAGTCGTCTGATGCACGTGCTCGCCTGCCGGCGCCATGATGACTTGTAGCTAGGTAGGTGGTGCAGTAGTGTACTCCTGTTTCCCTTTATCCATGAAATCGGTAAGAGATTGGAAAATCTTCGAATGTTCATTGACGCCCTGCGTTCTCAGGTGAAAGCAGGGAATGGGATATATGCATAATTAGGTGTTGATTAGTAGTGTACATTGTAGATTAGGGATCAGTCGACGAGGGTTGCTGGTTTTGTGGCAATTGGAGTTGATACAAAATATAGTTTATTAGTCCTAATCAGGGAACTGAGACGTCATCTCACTAGAACATTCCTCGTCTTACTTTATTGGTAGTACCTTTATTAGTTATCTTCACACATATTTAGTCGTATTTGAGATCATATTTGTCGTGTGTGTTTGAGCTTTTGGCGTGTTAGGTTGAAATGCACGAGTACTTTTTATCTTGCGTAAATGGCAACAGGGCAACCTAATAGGTTGTGATCGTCGCTGGACCGTTTTATGGGGCCATCTTGAAGGCTGCATGCTGACACGTCTGTTCCTGAAGAGATATGCATATGCCTAAACCTTACTTGGCTCGACACTTAATCATGTGGAAGAATTACCCTGCCTACTTGGAACTATATTCTTGATGGAAATTAATACTGTTGAAAGGTGACCCACCATACCAGGGTGGGTGAATATAGTTAAGCGTTACCATTATCACATCGAATGTGCCAATCATGACACACGTGGGCGAATCATTGTTTATCAGTGCCTTTAAAATAAATCCCACTCTCGGTCTACAGTACTGCATCTTGTTCTACTATTGATTCTCAGTTTAGTGCTGGGTTGGACAAGAGTGATATTTCGTTACGAAATGTTCTTTTCGGTTTGTGTGTGAACAGAATTGCATGAGCTTCTGCTATCCAACAGCATATACGGCGGCATATTCATTGATATATGAGCTCTGTTGATATATGATGCGAAGTCACCAAAAAATTGTATACGGTGTTTTGGTATAACGTTCCTCGGCGTATGGCATAGCCTGCAAATCAAGATCAGGGTTTCCACAAAAGTGAATATATTTTTCAAGGACTTTTCAAGGACAATCTGTGACAAGTAGTTTTAGCTTTTGAGTCATCATATATACCTGAGATTCGTATACAGTAAAACTCGCATAAGTCGTCATCGTCAAATTCGTCGCAAGTAGTCTAAGTTGTCAATTCAGGTAAGTCGACATGGAAGTCAAAGTCCCGATTCGCTCTCATAGTAAATCCATTGGAATAGCCCCGCCTAAAGGCCCGTCTCCACACACGCGGCGCGGCACCGAACGCCACGGAAACGGCGCCGTTCACCTCTACTGGCAAAGTACAAATCTATTATATCTTAAGGCGCAGTCTCTACTGACACGGCACGGCGCAAGCCCGGTTTCACGGCGACGGCGAAAGTCAAATGAGTTTGACTTGTGCTGGATGCCGTGTACTGAGAAAGACCGTTGAACCAATCAACGTGATTGTTTTTTAGCTCATCTGACATAGTCAGATGCAGCTTGTAGAATCGCATGAGCATGCGTGCGTGCGTGCGTCCGTCCGTCCGTCAACAGTTGGGCACAAATCTTAACCGCTCGACGTACGGTCACGATATTCGGACGGGGGGGGGATAGTCCAAAAACGAGTTGGGATGTCAAAGCTGGGGTTCAAAGGTCAAAGGTCAAGAGGTGTAAAAGAAGGGGGAACATTCCTTCCTTAACTTAAGGTATAGGGAGGAAATGCAGAATTGCAGCACAAATCTAAACGGCTCGACCTAGGCTCGCGATAGTCGGTGTATAGCATCATGGTAGGAAAATCCATCACTGTGCCGAAATTGGAGGTCAAAGGTCAATGGGGCACAGGGCAGATTTTAGACATTTTCTAAGGACATGGTCTGACGGAGCGTGTAGAGTGTTTCAGCGATGACCTACCATTTTTATGGCTTTATTTAAAGGACTATGAAATGTACTTTCCGCTGACATGCGAAGAGTAAGTGTCGGATAACCTTTTGACCCTCAAGAGGAGGGTTAAACATGGATTTGTTTACTGTTAGAAAGAATCTGACTGCCAGGTTTGCTAGTAGAATCTATACATGCCTGGATGTACGAGGCTACAATGTCACAGTGAAATTTCAAAAGCTAAATTTGGTTGAAGAAGGTTTATGCTCCTTAAATCGTATAATTTCTATGGCATTCTGGTGTGTGGGGTGGTGGGATTTTTTTTAGTGTACTAAAGCAGCTCGGAACTCGCAATACGGCATTTCTGGAGCCGCTAATCAGCGTGTGAAAATGCTCGAGTCGGCAATTTGTCTGTAGATTGCGTGTGAATCTCGCTAGATATACCGGTATTTCCATAAATTATAAAGGAAAATGGAGCGGGAATCAGTATCGAACCAAATATAACATTGTCAGCATATTCTATAAAGGATAAGGTAAGTCGGACACAAATATGCTGGCGCACCGAAAAGTACGGACTTAAGCTAGTCGTTCGCAGCACAGGCACTTGAAGCATTTCATAAAATAATGCTAAACTAGAGAGATGAGAATAAGTAAAATAATACGAAATCTATTTTACCTCAACCACCTCTCAACCGTTCTATATGAATAACTCAATTTCATATATTGCCGGGACAGTTTCCTGAAATTCCGTCTAAATCCTAATTTGCACACATAGTATACTATAATATTATATATAATTATTAATAGTATAGGTAAGTGTGCACGAGTGCAGCCGTAAGGAAGGCAGCGCAAAGCGTGATGTTGCAAATAGATTTGACGGAAATTTACACGAAACTGCCAGGCAATAATAGGTGATAAAGAGTATGGAAAACATGTAAGAATGGTCGTGAAATAGATTCGTCAATTATTTAAGCATTATAGTTTAGTTGAAATGGCTGTCAAGTGCCTTGTGTCTCCACTCCACAAGTGCGCGGGCACGGCAACGGCACGGCACAGCAAAACGAGAGCGCCGGTTGTGGGCTGAAAAAACAAATGCATTGTGATTTTAAGCGCAAGATTGTGATCTCAGACGCGATTGTGTTCCACTCTGGTTCATGGTGATCAGGAAATTATGGCATGTGCTGCTTGTCGCATGATGCTGCATGGTGCGTGAGCGATAAGCGACGTGATAAAGCAAGTGCTGCGAGAGCAAGCAAGCGCTCACTGAGAAGTGTACTGTGCCGGGTATCGTCTTCTGATAAACTCACTGGCAACCGAATCCAAGTGCACCCTCCCGCCAGCTGGTGTCGCGGGCTCAGAGCATATATCTAGCGATATGCTACTAATAGACAGAGTCTAAAAGTATGATGAGGCTTTGCCATAGGACCGTAGTACAGTAAAAAGATACAGCTGTCGTAACTTAATGACTTCGCTATAATAGCATATATGTTATCAATGATTATGCGTGAGCGCGGGCGATAGAGAGTGTGTGGGGGGAGTGGAATGGGCTCTAATAGCAATAAGAGCAGTTAGACGGTTGGTGTGTGGTGGGCTCAGGCGGGTTGGGGGTAGGCGTGGGTGTTGGAGGTTCGGGGGGGGTTGTGGGGGGGTTGGGTGGGTTTGATGGGCGGTGGCCTTTGTGTAAGAGTCAACAATTCCATGGTTAACCCTCCTCTGGAGGCAAACAGGTATCAGGACAAACTGTACTCTTTTGCACGTGAGGGCGAAAGGGTAACATTCATGGTCTGGTGATTTTCAAATAAAGTTGGAGTAAAAATGGATAGTCAGCGGCTGAAACAAAAGCAGAATTTGGGGGCACTGTGTCGTGTAGACCAGGGCCTGCGGAGAAAATGTAGTGATATCTGACACGTTTCTCCCATGGGTGGCTTTGACCTGTGACCAGTGGTCCGCGGGGGGGGGGTGGTCACTCTTTCTTAGGAATCATGTTACTTCATGTGCGGATTCTCAGCTAAATAATAATGACCGCTAGTGGCGAAGCGTGCGACATTGAAAGACG